TATTAATTTTTTTTGTTAGTTTAAAGTAATTTAATTGGTCTTGCAGCATTATGAGCTTTAACACAGAACTTATACATTACACCTTATACATACTTTACCACAACTCATATTCCAACAGCTTTCATTCATTCTATTCTTTTTGCTGAATATTATTGAAAACAATCATAATATTGTATTATCATATATACAACATACAGTAAATATATATATATAGTATATGTATAGTATATATATACAGACATATGTGTAGTTATAGTGTATAGACAATCATATTGGGGTGATATAAACACACCCAGCCTTTTTTTTTTTAATTTAACAACATAAAAACGGTGGACCAATTGGATCGGTTTTGAGACCGACCACAACTTGATATAGGTATGCGGTCCCCCTCGTCCACCAATATTGATTGATAGGTGCGCATTACTGTACCCAAAGTTAGTTGTTTCACGTCCACCATTTTCAGCGTGTGAGTCAAATCGATGTCACCAAAGGAACACCCTTGCTCTATTTTTGGATGTAAGGCTCATTGGGTGAAACCTTATAGTGAAACCAGTTAATTGTTGCATCCTTACACGCATGACTAAAACTATACAAAGACACAAATTCTGGCACATAAGGAATATTGATACCTCAACAGTAGTCTCTGCTTGGTCTGTGTCCGAGTCCGGGTCGTACAGTACATGTACGGCTGAATGCTGGCCCTCTCACTCATGTTGCTTCTCTCTGTCTGCCTGTCTGTTGCCATACACAAAGTGGGGGAGCTCTTGGCTCCACCCCCTTTTTAAGTTGGGCAGGAAGTCGAAACTAATTTTCAAGTGAAGCAACACACCCCTAAAACAATGATCCATGTACACGGCCCCAAAATGACACTTTGTAACACATTATAATTAAAAAAAAATCTGAATTGTGTTTTGAACTGAACCTAAATTGGCACACTCAGAACAACCATAATATTAATATTAAATCTTAAAAAGGGGTATAAAAAAAAAAAAAAAAAAAAGGTGCCCTTGACACTATCTACTTAAAATGAGTTGAAACAACACAATTCACAACTCACAATTTTGGGGGGCACAACGTACACTACCTGACAAAAGTTTAGTCTCCTATCCAAGTTTAAGGAACAACAAATAAAAGCTTGACTTTTAGTAGATCATTTGGTATCAGAAGTAACTTATATGAAGGGCAAAGGCCTCTAGATTATGCTTATTTTACAAAAAAAAAAAAAAGAAAACATGATCATGCTTTGATTTTTAATTATTTCATTAGGACAGAAAGGTCTGACTTTGCTTATACAAAAGTCATGTCATGTAATAGAAATATTGTACAGTATAGAATATAAAGTTATGGTGCAGTGGAAAAATAATTAATATTGTGTATGACACCCATGAGCTTGGATGATTGCGTCCATACACCTCTTCAATGACTCAAATAACTTATTCATAAAGTCATCTGGAATGGCAAAGAAAGCGTTCTTGCAGCACTCCAAGAGTTCATCAAGGTTCTTTGGATTCATCTTCAATGACTCCATCTTACTTCAGATACACTCAATAATGTTTGGATCTGGTGACTGGGATGGCCAATCCTTGAGCACCTTGACTTTCTTTGCTTTTAGGAACTTAGATGTGGAGGCTAAACTATGTGAAGGGGCGCCATCCTGTTTAAGAATTTGACCTCTCCTTTGGTTTGTAATGTAATGGGCAGCACAAATGTCTTGATATGTTCCTCGGGCTATTGATGTTGCCATCCCCTCTGCAGATCTCTCGCACGCTCCAATACTAAATGTAACCCCAAACCATGATTTTTCCTTCACAAAACTTGATGATTGAGATGCAGTTCAACAGGTGATTCATCAGAAAAATTCACCTTCTGACACTTTTACAATCAACTAGACATCAAGTTATTATTTGTTGCTCTTGCAACTGGGATTGATGACAAGACTTTTGTGAGGTAATGTAAATGTTTTATGTTTAATTGACTTAATTTTGTGAAAAAACTATTACATTGACTTAATCGGTTTTCGTTGGGACAACATGATTGATTTTTCACAGTGTACAAATACAAATTAAGTAAAAAAACTATAAAAAGGTGTAACTTAACTTTACATATATAAAATATGAGCCCCACATTATATTTAAAAACGTTCAGAAGCAAAAACCTCTAAGTGCTCTCTGAAAATGTATTCTAAAGTGAGCATTTTTCTCAGTCTCCAATCTTTATTTTGAGTTATTTTACATTAAAGACAATGAAAATAACCAATTCGTTGACATAAAAGTAAAATTACAGAACCTGTACACAGGAGTCTGAGAAAAAAAAATCATTTTAGAAGACAATTGCAGATTTTTTTATATTTTTTTTGGCTTTGGCACTTTTCATTTAGTCAATAAGTAAAATAAGTTACAATACTGTCTTAACGTATGCCTTTCGTTCTAACTCTTACTCTGAGGATGTGTAAAACACAGCACAAACTCTCTGAAAGATTATGAAATCGAGTCATACAGAAGAGGAACATCAGAGGTATTGATATACACGGCAACAGCTGTGACATCGGGGACAGGCACGTTTTTAGATGCTCAAGCTCTTAGTGATGCCATGGCCTCGATAAAAAGCAAAGGAACACTGAGTAAAATGAGGTCATTGTGGGCTTAGGTAGGGGAGAGTGTGAGGGGGAAGGAGGGGTTTGTGTGTATCCGGGTCTGACTGCTGGCAGGCCTCACCGTTGGCAGGCCTCTGTCTCACTGTCACTCGGTCACTTTATACAGCTGACACTTTTTGTTTAACTTTGCCTTCTTTTTAAATTCTAGAATGTAATCAAAATATTAAATAGCATCAGTGCTGGGTGTAATTAATTCCTCACTTTATTTAAATGACTTTTTTCAAGTACAGCATTAACGCATTTTTATGTCATGCAATTAATTGTTTATAATGCTCTTGATTAAATACTCTACATAAATTGAGCAGTGCTGTATAAAGTACTGTATAAAAACCTGTGTATTTAGCAGAATAATTTGTTTTAAACGAAAATAAGTTTACATTCATCAGACAATTGCACTTGCCATAATGAAGATAAAATATGAAATGTTTCATGTTTTCATACATATTTTAAACTTTTCAATTGTTTGCAGTTGTTATTAAAATGCTTTCAAATTTTAAAGTATTAGTGTTTCAAATTTGTGACACAAATGTTTGTCACATGTTTGACACATTTAAAGAATTGTAAGTTTAATATATATTTTCTGTGTGCTTACATTCATTAGGATTTTAAATAGTAATAAGACAAGTATTCCTTGAGTAAATAAATTGCTTAAAATTAAATTAAATTAAATTAAATTAAATTAAATCACTTGTAATTAAATGTACAGTAATTTAAATGCAATTTTAATAATGCAATTAGTAACTAACTGTTTTTTAAGTATTTCACCCAACACTGCATTATATAATACCCAAATAATTCAAAGATTCCATAATGTTATTATGGAATAACTCAAGGCAAAAAGTATACTTTACTTTTTTTACATACACATAGTCAGTGTCAGAGTACAGTCTGTGTCAGTTTAATGACATTATCAGAACAGTTTACATTTGATTACATTTTAGTAGTCAACATTTGAAGAGGATGTTGACTCCTGTATACACACATTCATCTGCAGCAAATATTTAAGGTCAAAGAACATTGATTAATAATAAAAAGAGTCTCTTCTGATCCATTTAATGCATCTTTAATTAAATTATTTTTTTATACTATAACTGCATTCAATATGATTAAACGTTAGACTTTTTTTTCTTAAAAAAGAAAAGCTTATAGAAAAAAAGATTATAAGAGATAAGTTAAAAACCAACACAAAGTACTGTACAGCTAGGGTGGGGAAACTCGGTCCTGGAGGGCCGGTGTCCTGCACAGTTTAGCTCCAACACTAATTAAACACACCTGAACATGCTAATCAGTGTCTTCAAGATCAGTAGAAATCTAAAAGCAGGTGTGTTTGATTAGAGTTGGAGCTAAAGTGTGCAGGACACCGGCCCTCCAGGACCGAGTTTGCCCACCCCTGCTGTACACTAACTTAAACTTAAGTTAAAATCTTTGTTAATTAGTAAAACATTAGATTACCCCCTAAGCTGTTTGCAATTTTTTTATCACCCTTTTCCATATTTAGGTAATCACACTATATTAGAAGTCATGAAGCTTAAATTAGAAATTCATGACAATACACCATTTGGAAAATTCAGCGTTACCACGTAAAAGTCACTTTAAACCATTTCAGGGTGCTCATTCTTTCATTGCTTCATATTATGAAATTCAGTATGCAATTTTATAATCAAACATTGTGTATAAGACAGCTAATATAATAGTAATATATTTAACTATAATAAAGCTTAATTCACATAAATAATTGCTGTTAATTAATAACATGCCTTATTTTTGGTCTTTTTACACTGTATTTGACAAGTACCATTAATAGAGATCATTCTTAATATACACTCAATAGACACTGCTGTGTGTTCAAAGTACTTATTTAAAATGAGTTGAAACAACACAATTCGTTTGTTTTTTGGAGGGGACAACTTAATTGTTTTATGAAACATCCTTGCAAGTGTGTTGAGGCAAGTTAGAGCAACAATCTTCAGGACACAGACCCTCCAGGACCCAGTTTGGACACCCCTGGCTTAACTTAATCAATTTGTGTTTATACAACATGCATTTTACAGTGTACATATTAGAGAGTGCACATTAAATGATTCAGGGGTTGTAGCAGACATTTTCTTCACCTTTATACAAATACAACACTTTTTCGAACTAAACTGATCAAAACTTGGTTGTTTGTTATAAAACTGCCAGTTTGAAGTCTGGAGTCAAGAGTCAAAAATATTTCCTTGTTTTCAGAAATAATATGACAAAAACAAATGCCATGTTCAGTATATAATGCAAGGAATATCTAGCATCTAGGACTGCACTGGAGTACTTATAAGCTACTTCATGGTGTTGGTGCATTACAAATCCTCACCTTTGACATTTTCCACATCCTGAGAGGCGATAACGAATCCAAATCCTTCACCTGGTTTCCTCTTCAGCTCCACCTCATAGCCCCGCAGCGCCGGGGGCTGCTCTTTCTCCTCTGTTTTCACTCTGGGACTGAGCACCGTCCCTCCATCCTCTGAGCTCATCCAATCACGTGGCTCCAGTGTGAGAGTGACAGGTACTGAATCCAGAAAGCTGGTGCTCTGGACCAATGAAGAGCGCACCAGCGCTGGAGATGGCGGGGTCAGAGAGTTACGAGATAATGGCATGGAGTCGGTAAAAGGAACTTCAGAGTCGGAAGCAGAGCGTGGAGGGGGAGGAGTTAGTCTTCGCACAGAACTAGGCGAATTGGAATAGTTTGAGGGGCCTGCAAAAATAAGATGAAGCCAGTTATTCATAATTATACTTTAAGGCAGTTATATGCTTGATTCTGATTGGCTGATGAACATACTATGGTGTGCAAGAGCAGTTTGAGGTCAAAACCTTGAAAAATGGCTTGAACTTTCACATCTGAACAATGTCTTTAGGTGTTCCACAGTTCATCCTCAGTTGTTCTGTACTTAACGAATGGGCATAAAGACTTTAAATGTGCAGTATGTGAGTTTTTGTTCTAACCAAAGCCTTAAATCGATATATTAGGAAAAGCTTTTATTCCTTGCAGAAAACTGACAATGATCACCTCAGGTACACCTATATGTGCTATAGTCAGTTTTAAATTCTAGTAAAGTTTAATGTTTGTGTTTAAATGCCATTTTAAATGTCATTTATTGCCATACTACTGAAAGCAGCAGCAGATAGTTCACCTCAGATCTTATGCTTACCTCAGGTCTCTCAGCATGCTTTGAGAGACTTTCTGACTGAATTAATGAAATACGCTGAAATATAATTGGTTGTAGTGGCAGTGGGCGGTTTGGTTAAAAGAACCAAAACAAAGACAGACGTTCCGGCAAGTAACTCACATTTTCAAAGCAGAAGAAGTGATTTTATCATTGTTTTTCAGATAAACAAGAATGTTCACTTGCCATGTTTCTTAAATATCTGCAAACATTTTATGGTATTTGTGTCCTTTAGATCAGTAGTCATCAAACTCGTTCCTGGAGGGCCAGTGTTCTGCAGATTCTACCTCCAACCCTAATCAAACACACCTGAACAAGCTAATCAAGGTCTTACTGGGTATACTTAAAGCACCCAGGCAGGTGTGTTGAGGCAAGTTGGAGCTAAACCTTGCAGGGACACCGGCCCTCCTGGACAGAGATTGGTGACGCCAATCACACAAGATTGACTAATTGACATTCTTGCTTTGTACATGTTAGGGCATAAGTCCTGCCCATTAGTAGATGATCTTTTCCACATTAGCATAAACAGCCCTGAGTGAGAAGCAGCCATCTGCTATTAAAGTTTTTACCATATCTGTTGAAGACAATGTCACTGACTAAGAGCTCTTACAAATGTGGACTTGTAAGGATGCACAAGTAAACAACAAAGCCTGTTCACCATAGACTGCCTTCTTTTGAGCCACATCTGTTCACATTTTTGTTTTTTCCACAGAGGTAACATGAAAGTGCCGTTTTGAATCTATTACTATGCTGATGCATAGGCTTTTATAGCTCCACCCTCTTTTACAAAGAGGGCTGGGAGCACAATCTCATTTGAATTTAAAGCGACAGTCACGAAAACAGCACAATTTGGATCAAGGCCTAAATGGGGAAGATTTATACAAAGAGTTATAAAAAATATTTCTGTGTTATTCTAAGCTAAAACTTTGCATACACACTCTAGGGACATCAAAGACTTATTTTGCATCTTGTAAAAGAGGGCATAATAGGTCCCCTTTTAACTAGGACAAAATGTCACTGATATTCTACAATATTAATTAATGTAGTTTTGAAAATAGTGTATGGAGTGGGTTCCCAATTTATTAGACCAATGAATTACCCATGACATATACGACGGATGATTTCAATCTAAAGTTGAAAAAAAATATGATACTTGTCTTTATTCTTAGTTTATAAGTGCAATTACACAAAATTAAAAATACAATATTTTACCATTAGCCCATATGATATTTTATCCACATGATGACATTTAAAGCACAGATCTATATTTTTTAAAGTAAACTTTTTCTGTTATTAGGTGTCATAAGATGTATGTTTATATCTAATATCGGCCAATATACAATAAGTAAGTAATTAGTGTGTGTAGGAGTGTTGCTTGACATAAAGCGTAATGGCACACATGATCCCCATTAGTCTAATCACCTTTATTTATTTACCCTTTGTTTTGAGTGAGCCCCTTGTATTTCTAACTGATTTCTAATTTCTCAATGATGTTGAGGTGAATGCATCAGTTTGTTTTCAGTTAAACTACACTGTTTTCACGAGAATTGATTAGGTTATACATAGAGAATAATGTTTTTTTTCTATAACTAGCACTCTTAATTAATACACTAACATATCATGTAAATAACAACCCATGGCTTTTACTGGGCACAAGCCTGAGTATATGGGGTCTAGCAATGCCTTTGGTGTGTGCCTGTGTTATAAAGCGTGAAAATGTGAAATATACAAAATCTGCAGTTAAAGTTGCACTCATTATGAACTACCTAAAATATTATCCAATTCGTTGTATCAAATCTAAGTTAAAAGTTAAAAAAAAGTTTTTAAATTATAAATGTAAACAAGGTAAACATTTAAATGTGTGTGCATGTGTGACACTGAATATCTCAAAGAATTTTATACACTCAAAAAAATGACTTAGTGCTTGTTCAAACTACTTATTTAAAATGAGTTGACAACACAATTCTTAACTTTTTGGGGGACAACTTAACTGTTTTATCCTCAATTCTAAACACAATTAACGGTTAGCTTAACCAATTTGTGTTAGGACCACATGAGGGAATTGTGTGGAACCCAGCATTTTTAAAGTGCATTATTTTTACATAAATATATCAGTATATTTAATATATAAATACCTACTTATATCAGGTCAAATTATAACATTGTTACCTGTACATATTGATGTTAAAGAGCACAATTTCACAATATAAAAAATAATAATAATGATCACATTTACTATCACAAATGTCCTTAATTGTGACCTGGTAAAAATAAAAATCTAAAATATTCATTGTACTGTACATTTCATACAATAAAAAATTCTAAAGATTTGATTATTTACAGGTTTAAATGCAATAAATAAATAAATAAACAAAACAGTACAGTAGCTTACCCCTGTAAACCAGCAGAATAACCTCTCCTTTTTTAGTGTGTTCTTGCAAAATCCTTTGGACCTTGAACACAAAAAACACACATATGAACAAAAATATGTACCCCATAACAAAAGACTCAACTTGTTCTCTCCTTTCCTACCTGTGCAAAGCTGAGACTCTGTACATCAGCTCCATTGATCTTCACAACAGCATCTCCAGACTGCAGCCCATTACACTGTCTGTGGTCCCAGACTTTCTTCACAAGGGTCTGTCTGCCTCCGTGCCCTCCCGCCGTCACACTGAACCCCATATTGCTGCCCCTCTCGCATTTAGCCAACGCAACAGGAACCAATTCTCCACCTGCCGCCATTCCTCCAACACCACTGCCTATGACGGCACTCAGGGCTCCGGGTGAAGGAATGCTGCTGTTTGGGCTGCCGCTGCTGGCGCTGGCCGTCCCGTTGAAGGTGAAGTAAGGCCCGTCAGAATGGACGCTGCTTGGTGGGGTTAGCATTGAATTCTGAGGTTTACGTAAATGCGAGTAGCGTCTTCCACCTCCAGGGGAAAAGGAGACAGGACCTGGGCTTAGTTCAGTGTGGGGTAGAGGTAATCGAGATATGGGCGGTGGAGTACTTGAGGAAAGGTCACTCTCTGAAGATTTGAAGGAGTGCAGGCGGAGAGGTGGCGGAGTGGAGAGAGAGTTGTTGTTGTGGTTACGGATAAACGAGGCCCTATGAAGATAAAAAGAGAGAGAGAGTTGCCATGATGTGTCATGATCAGGGGTGGAGAGACACATAATAAATATCTGGTAATTAACAGTGTCCAGATTTAGTGATTCACATGTGTTTTTGGTTTATTTACAGTTGTGAATTGCATTTTGGGATGTTGATCTCTGCTTTGTTGACGTTTGATGTTAAAATTCAACATTCCAGTTTAACAAAGTGACTTTTATTGACATTTTAGTAGTTAAAAAATAATATAATATATAGAGAAATAAGACAAAAAACAAAATGCACTGGCAGTTTATTGCAAGGTTTTTGTGCTGTAAATAAACAACACCAACCCAAACGATATATCACTTTGAACTATTAAACGTTAATAAAAGTCCCTTTTTTTAACATTTCAAGGTTAAAAGTTGTTGGAAGAAAGATCAATGTCCCATAATGCAACTCAAAAGCATAAATAAACATGAAAAATTAAAATATATAAACATGCATCACAAAATACGGAAAACTGCTAATTTATGGATATTTTTACAGTGTGTTATGTAGTTGAAATAGAAAATCTGTAACAAATTGGTAAGCAATAGAGTTAACAGAGAAAAAAAGTAGAGTGTTACAGCATTGAAACACTGTTGTCATGTACAGTACATTCCTATATGCTATATGTAAGGACAGAGGGCACTTTAAATACTAAAAGCTGCAGTCATTAGCTAGAGTCGTTTCCACTATCGCTCCTAAAGTGAGTGAGCCAAGGCCAGTCGGGGCCTGCTCAGACCAAAGTGGGGCTTTGTCGGGGCCAGTGGCCAGCCTTTTTCGGCCCGCCGAATACCTTGGGCCAAAGAGGGCCAGCTGGGGCTTCGGGGCGGAGTGAAAGGAGAGGCAAACTTTGCCCAAGTCTGGTAAAGATGGCATGCCGTCATTTCACTAGTTTTCCCATCGCACATGAGTACATGCACCAAAAAAATAAATAAGGGAAAAAAAACATATAGCTGGTCAGTTTAAGATAGACTATTCCATAAAACACCTTATAGGCTAGGCGAGGGGTCTTTTTGCTAATGATCGCCCTTATGTTTCCCTTTTAAATGCAAGGCTGTTGCATAAAATAATAACGTTTTAATTTATAAGTGACGTTGACCATATATAACTTTCATTTTACACAGACTTCTCTGAAAAAAAGATTTTAGATATTTTCTAAAAACAATAAACACCGGAAGAGGTTTAAAATATTATTTTTTTAAGTATTTGGATACGATGATATTAATCAAATCGTGCAAACAAAGCATTTTGGGCACTTTCCATTACTAAATATAAGCAAACAATATGCAACATCCTTAAATAAAGGAGGATCACCTATTAAGTGCCATATAGCCTAGGGAAAAATTTATTTGTTTTCTGTCTCTCTGGAGTATTTGGGCTGAATGTTTGACGACGTCTATCAAAACGAATGTTTTAAAATACATTTTATATCGAGTTATTAATGGAATATTTCTGTGGTTTATATTATGGAAGGGTACTGCGCTGAGTCCCTCTGTTAGTGGCGAGACCAGCAGTGGATCGGCGAGTAAATCAATGAAAAATACACAAGCCTGTGTGTATAGACATATACTGTGATGCTGTATAGTAATGTGTCGTGTTTGTTTCGGTTGACATTATTTCGGCCTCACTACTCAACCTCCCAGACAATTGGCATGGCCCGGCCCAATAAAAGCCCTGGCTCGCACTGGCCCAACAGTGGAAATGCGGCAATTGAGGAACTTGTCTTTTGGGGAATGCATGCCGTTCTAGTCTAATAACTTTGCACATTGTATAGAATAAATGTGAGTAAAAAAAAAAAAGCATTGCAGAGACGACTACAAATATGCCTAATGTATTATTTTCTGCTTCCTTCCATAAAAATAATCCACCTACCATGAGTAAAAGTTTATAAAATCTAAGTGTATAAAAAGTATATAAGTGTAAATTGGCATGTTAGCATTTTTCCTTATGCTGAGTTGATATATAAAGTATATTTATTCATAAAATGCAAATTAACAAATTCAACAAATAAAACTAATTTAAAATGTTTAGAAAAAAAAGTTATTCTCGCAATGCTGCATTTATTTTACTTTTTTGCAGTATTTTAGCAAGAAAACAAGAGGTGTATGACATCGATTAAAAACCTTTAGGATTGCACAGCTTTCCAGCATCAATAAAAATACGTTTTCTGCCTCATTTCATGAAAGGAATGCACTTGGGTTCATAAAATTCTGTTACTAAAGAAAGAAAATATATCTCCATCAAACTATTAAACAGCACAAAGAGAGAAAAGAAAAAAATGTTAAATTGTAACAGAATAAAGAGCTAAAACCTAGATAGGTAGGTAGGTAGGTAGACAGACAGACAGACAGACAGACAGACAGACAGACAGACAGACAGACAGACAGATATAGATAGATAGATAGATAGATAGATAGATAGATAGATAGATAGATAGATAGATAGATAGATAGATAGATAGATAGATAGATAGATAGATAGATAGATAGATAGATAGATAGATAGATAGATAGATAGATAGATAGATAGATAGGATCAAATCTGACAGACCACAAAACTTTAAATTGTAGCATATAATTTGATATGAGGATAATTATAATTATATATATATATTTGTAATTAGTAAAACTACTTTAAAAATGAATGTACTTTTAGTACAAGGAGAAAAAGAAGTTGCAACATAATGTGACAAACGGTGACAAAATGTGACAAACGGTCATTTGTATTCTGGAATCAAAGGGTTCACAGCTCTTAACATGAGGGCCATTAATATCCAGTTTTACTCTAACCATGCTAAAACTCATCTGTCTGTAACTTTCTAATACTGAAGTAAGACCTTGATTAGCTTGTAGCGAACTGTAACACCAGTATTCTTTAGTGTTACATAAAAAAAAAAAAACCTCTTAACTCTCCTAACATCATCACACATCAAATCCATTCACCTGTGGGATCCGATTGCAGACACCACCTCACTGTCACTTTGGCTGGCCAGTTCTGCGCTCTGCAACCTCCGTATGCTTCTCGCAGTGCGTGGCGGTCTCAAAAACCCACTCCCATACCCGTTGGAGCCCTGGTACGATGACGGAGGTCTTGGAGGTGAAGCAAATGGAGGTGAATTTCCATTAGCATCCAGACTAAACCTTGAAGCTCGCACTCTGAGATTCCTCGAAGACCCCCTGTCAAAGTCAGCCCACGGGGGGCTGTTGTGGTTGAGGTGGAGCTGTGCATATGGGAGAGGAGCCTGGGCCTGCGGTTGGGTGGTGGTTGGTGGAGGTAGATGTGGTGACTGGTTTTGGGATGCAGTCAGCCTTGGATTGGACATCTTAGGACAACCTTCTGAGTTGTAGAGCATGGGGTAACCTCTTCGGACCATGATGTCCACAGTATGACCAATAGGGATGGCTTTTAGCATTTCTACTACATCTTTGTGAGAGTAGCCGAGCACACAGGTATCATTGATGTAGACTAGGATGTCAGCTGGAAGAAGAATGAAAAGAAATGGATTTATAGGCTCTGAAAGTTGAACCAACTAAACTTTAAGTGTCACATGATCCCTCCTACAGAAATTATTTTAAAATGCTGTTTTGATGTTTCTGACACATTTTCTATGGTACAATTCCACTACAGCATCACTCTTTATGGCTGAGCACGCCTTTTTTAATCAGGTGGAGGACTTGTGTAAACTTAAAGTGTGAAGGAATACATTCTCAGAGTAGCCTACAGTTGAAGAATTATTAGTCCCCCTTTATATTTTTTGAACAATTTATGTTTAACAGAATTTCTTTTTTTTACAGATTTCTAAGCATAATTGTTTTAATAACTTATTTATGATAAATGATTTATTTTATTCTAGCCATGATGACAGTACTTATTATTTTACTAGATATTTTTCAAGACATTCAGCTTTTTGAGATTCAAAGCTTAAAGTGCAATTCAAAGGCTTAACTAGGTTAATCAGGTTAACAGGGCATATTAGGGTAATTAGGCAAGTCAATTGCAAAACTATAGTTTGTTCTGTAAACAAATTAACAAAAAAAATATTGCTTATAATAATAATACTAATATTGACTCTAAATTTTTTATTTTTTTTTAAACTGCTTTTATTCTAGCTGAAATAAAACAAATAAGACTTTCTCCAGTAGAAAAAAAAAACATTATAGGAAATACTGTGAAAAATTCCTTGCTTTACATTTGAGCTAATAATTTTGACTTCAACTGTATGTGATTTCAGCTCAGTAATTCAGTTCCACAAACACTCAGAAACATATGTCAACATCTTGCCTTGCCTACTTTTAATGGCAATTGGATGCTGTATGGTGTTTTTACACTTGCCATTTGCAACGATCTCAATGTTTTCCCTCTGCCACTTTTTAAATGTACTGTGAACGTTTACACTCAACTTACATATGAATGAATGGAAAATGATCATTGCGCTGCACTTTCATCCTGGCTTTTTTTCTCTCCTTTTTTTGGAAAGAGTAATATAAGGGTTTAACTTTTTGTAACAATTTATTGTTAACTTTTTTGGTAATTTTTTTTGTTATATTAAATTTCATTTAATGAAATACATCTCTTAAGCACATTTCTTTTTTTTTTTTTTGCATAATGCTGTATTATGTATTTATGTACTGTCCGTCCCGTCCGTTCATCCATCCTTCCATTTTTCTATTTAAAGTAATATGTTTCCATATTCCAGTTTATTTTTTCATGTAAATAATCTCCAATGAATTCCCACAGGCAAAAACAACAAAATTAAAGTTTATGTTTGTTTGTTTCCTCTCTCCACAGCAGGACACCAGAGAGCCCCAGTGACCTACAGCATGACACATATTGGTGTTCACAATATAAAAAAAATATCTGGAGTGTCTATCTTTCTTTCTTTTTTTCTTTCTTTCTTTCTTTCTTTCTTTCTTTCTTTCTTTCTTTCTTTCTAGTTCTTTCGTTCTCTTTCTTTCTTTCTTCGTCAATTTTACTGGCGATTCATTTTGCTGTGGCGAATAAATCCGAGACTATACGCCAAAGGAAAACTAATCAATGAATTTATGTTATTTCCATTAAATATTACAAATTTCTTTTTTCTGAAATGTTATTTTCATCAAATATTCTTTCTTTCTTTCTTTCTTTCTTTCTTTCTTTCTTTCTTTCTTTCTTTTTTACTTGTCATAATCAATTTATTTTGATGATCCCTTTAACACATTTGTATCTAAATGCCAACTAATTCTCATTGGATTATAAATAGACTGTTAGGTTGGGGTTAGGGTTTAGGTAAGTGTAAGTTAACGTGTACTTGAAAGTGCATGTTAACCAGTTTATTGTCAGCAAATATTAGAGGGTCTACTAATACTTAAATGAGAAGTAATTGGCAGGTAGCTGCAATGCAACTTTTAGGCTAGTCAGCAATTTGTGCAATAGGGACCATCAAAATAAAGTCTTACCTTTATTTTCATCAAATATTATTACTTCTTTCTTTCTTTCTTTCCTAGTGAAATGTTATTTTCATGAAATATTGGTAATTCCCTTCACTAAAAGTGTTTAATAAAAATCAACAAAAATAAAATTGCTGGGCAGCACAACGGGTAGCACAATTGCCTCACAGCAAGATGGTCACTGGTTCGAGCCCTGGCTGGGTCAGTTGGCATATCTGTGTGGAGTTTGCATGGTCTCCCCGTGTTCGCATGGGTTTCCTCTGGGTGCTACGGTTTCCCTCACAAGTCCAAAGACATGTGGTATGGGTAAATTGGATAAGCTAAATTTAGTGTATGTATGAATGAGTGTGTATAAATCAGCTGGAAGGGCATCCACTGCGTAAAACATATGCTGGATGAGTTAGCGGTTCATTCTGCTGTGGCGACTCCAGATTAATAAAGGGACTAAGCCGAAAAGAAAATGAACGAATGGATGAATGAATAAAATTGCTTACAGTACCTCCATAAATAATCAGATCTCAAAGTGGACGGCTATAAAGTTTCTGGTTTGTTACTCTAAATGCATGATCTAATAATCAGATCAAAAATACTATGATATGTTTTTGTATATTAGTAATAAAACAACAATAAAGCAATAGAGAAAGTGTTCATAATGTCACATTTTACATGCAATTGTGTGTGTCAGCATTGATAGTTGGATTACACCATGCAGGTCATTAGGATTATAGTGCGAAGGAAAGAGTCGTTCGACAGTATCACACAATTTACAAACAATCCATGGCAATATGCAGAAAGCGAGAGAGCAATAGAGAGCGAGCAAACTGCAACCTATAGAAAATCTCCTTGTTTGTAGTCAGTGTTGTACCGCAGTGGGCTGCTGAGGAGATCTGTGTGCGGTTACCTGTGTTCAGGGTTGAAGGTCCTCCGGGAGTGATGCTGTAGATCTGCAGGAACTCTCTCCTTCTGCTGCCTCCCACTATATTGAAACCGAAGCCCCGTGCGCCTTTAACTAGACGAGTGTGGACGGAGAAACCTCTCAGTTCACTCGGCTGGTCCGTAAACTCTGCTACTACAAATAATAAACCAGAAAGATGATGGTGACAGAGTTCAGCATGATCATAAATAACAGACAAAATCTACACACTAATAGTACAGAATATAAGTGACATTCCTGCTGGAGAAATAAAAACAGACAAACTAACAAAACACAATAGAAACCATCACAGATGATCAATTGGTTTCACTACAAATACCCATAAAACATTACAAACCATCAAAGTAATTACTTTTTAAGAGGTTATAATGTATTTTGTGGATATATTTCGCTATATTGTTTTAGCATTCCACCAATTGAGGGTAACGAAGTTACTATTGGAAGCCTAAAAGACGATTAGAAATTCCAATAAATATAAAACAATTTCCATCGTTATTGGCATTAAAAGTGTAATAATTCTATGATGATTTCTGTAGTTTTATTCAGGAGGGAAATGAAAAGATAAATGGTGAAAGGTGATGAAAAAGAACGGCATTTACTCCTACATTCTAACCAGGTAGCTCAACTGTTAGCAAAATGCTAGCAAAACTTAAGAAGATCATGCTTTAAAATCCAAGGGAACACATAAACTGACAAAAAAGACACCTTGAATAAATATACCTTGAACACATTGTGACTGTAAGTCTGTAAGTGACTGCCAAATGCATGAATGTGAAATGTCTGAAGGAGAAAAGAGGTAGAAGTACAGACAGAGGTAAGCATTTGCATGTCTGAAGATAATCTTATCAAGCGCATCATGGTAAACAGCAGATTAGCATGCAGTGCAATAAGACCTGGACCGCAGAAAATATAAAAGCAAACTACAGCAGACATGGAGTTTTGATGCTATAATGATGACCAACTTATTCCTAAAACCTTAATATGTATACCGCCCTCTAGGGTTAGCAGCGGTGTACTACATAAGAGACTTAATGGACTGGAAACGAGTAAAGATTTATCTTTAGCATACTTAGCAATCATTTCTACACTTTTCTTATTGAAAAGAACATAAGAAATGAGTTATACTGTACTATTTTCAGGGTTGCCACACTTCTTGAAAGTAATTGAAAGTACTTTAATTTAGACATATCATAGTTACAAACAAACATAGGTCCTTGAACGTGGCTGAATTAAATTTGAAATATAATTTGTGATGGTTTCATTTCACCAGTTGCACTCAGTTGTCAAAAACAGAACAAAATACTAAATTCTTCAATTAAAAATCTTAAATTTAAATCTTGTACAATAACATTGATAAATAGTGCACATTTTTATCAGTTTAGGAATTTTCCTCAGCTGAATATTACCAGTACTGCATTCAACAAATTTTATCAAAGTTCTTTGTACATGATTTTTTTTAAATGGTAAACTTTTGTGGAATGTTAAAAAGTGTAATGTTAAGATTTTAAGTACAGTAAGGACTGTCATGGCACTATGTATGCTTGGGTATGAATTACAAAGGTCCTTGATTTAAAAGTAATGTTGCTATAAAAAGTCCTTGTAAGTGCTGTTCATGAAAGTGTGAGAACCCTGTAACATAAATTACGCAAATGTTGTTATAGTATTTACAGTATCTAAGTGAAAGGGGAAACCATGATTTTAGGAATTTTGAATGAACTGCTTTGCAAAATGAAAATAAAGTTTTATAGCTTATATGGCACACACTATTAATTCCTGCTGGTCAGAACGGTGTAAATGTAATGAAAATCCAATCCAAGCATGCAAAAAAACACATCTTACAAACCAATTACTGTACATTTTTATTGTAAACCAAACTGTCACATAATGTGTAACATCAGTACAGGAAAACTGATACTTAATCCTCTAGATCCTTCAAAATACAAAACAATCTAGGAAAACAAAACAATCTAAAATAGACCATTTGAAAAAAAAAAGGTAATAAAGTTTACCTACTTGTGCGTTTTGCATTTTATATTTAATACAGAGAAATGTGCAAATAAATATCCATTAGAATAGCCATGTTAATAAAATGTTTTTAATGTGTGTGCCTTGGTCTTATGATTGCCTTCTGTAATTGATATATATTTTTAACTTTACAATGATGGATAATCAAGTAACATCAGATCAGCCCAGTAATGTTGTTCATCTTGAATTATTACTAAATGATGTCATAGGAAAATGGCTTCAGAATAATACTAAAAGTATATCATTACAAATATTATACTAAAAGTATACGATTACAAATAGTATACAACTGTTAGTATCACCTTCATAATTACTTTCTCAGCAAAGTAATGTTCACGTCGATAACTGAGATAAAATCGTTCCAGCAACCCGCAATATATTGGTACTATATCGAAAAGTTCACAGATTGATCAAATCAGTGTAGAAAAGCAAACATTTTTTCATTTAGTTATTTAGCAGATGCTTTTAGGAACTAGAGTTAAACTAGAACTATAATAAGAGATTATTGAAGATTTAAAACTTAAAATTAAACTATAATTTTACAAAATGTTCATGCTTAATTTGTTCCTCTACAAAAAAGGGTGAATTAAACACCTGTGCTGATATAGATGTTATGAACAGCAAGTAAGGAGAAGAACCTTACATTTTTTAATAAAACTGTCAAGAAAATATTCTAATATAGCTGCATGAAAATTGGGAAAAAGTAGACAAATGTATCATGTAGTGATGTACAAAAAGAAATAAAATATATAGCGATTACTGTATACAGTGCATCTGGAAAGTATTCATAGCGCTTCACTTTTTCCACATTTTTTTATGTTGCAGCCTTATTCCAAAGTGGATTACATTTATTTATTTTCTCAAAATTTTTCACACAATACCCCAAAATGACAATCTGAAAAAAGATTTTTTGAAATCGTTGCAAATTTATTAAAAAAAAAAAAAAAAAGAAAAATCCTGAAAAATCACATGTACATAAGTATTCACAGCCTATGTTCAATACTCTTTGATGCACCTTTGGCAGCAGTTACAGCCTCAAGTCTTTTTGGATATACTGCCACAAGCTTTGCACACCTGTCTTTGGGATTTTTTGCCGATTCCTCATTGCAGTACCTCTCAAGCTCTATCAGGTTGGATGGGAAGCAACAGTGTACAGCCGGTTTCAGATCTCTCCAGAGATGTTTAATAGGATTTAAATCTGGGCTCTGGCTGGGCCACTCAAGGACATTCACCAAGTTGTTGTGAAGCCACTATATTGATATTTTGGCGGTGTGCTTTGGGTCATTGTCCTGCTGAAAGATGATCAGCTCCAGTCTAAGGTCAAGAGCACACTGAAGCAGGTTTTCAGGATGTCTCTGTACATTGCTGCATTCATCTTTTCCTCTACCCAATCTAGTCTTCCAGTTCCTGCTGCTGAAAACAACCCCACAGCATGATGCTGCCACCACTATGCCTCACTATAGGGATGGTATTGGCCTGGTAATGAGTGGTGCCTGGTTTTCTCCAAACATAACGCCTGGCATTCACTCCAAAGAGTTCAATTTTAGTCTCATCAGACCAGAGACATTAGTTTCTTATGGTCCGAGAGTCCTTCATATACCTTTTGGCAAATTTCAGGCGGGGATTGGCTTCCGTCTGGTCACTATACCATACAGACCTGATTGGTGGATTGCTGCACAGATAGTTGTCCGTCTCTAAGGTTCTTCTCTCTACACATAAGATTGCTGGAACTCAGACAGTGACCATTGTGTTATTGATCACCTTCCTAACTTAGGCCCTTCTCCCTCGATCACTCAGCTTAGATGGCCGTACAGCTCTAAGAAGAGTCCGAACATTTCCACCTACTGATGATGGAGGCCACTGTGCTCATTGGAACTTTCAGAGTAGCAGAAATTTTTCTGTAACCTTTCCCAGCCTTGTGCCAATCCTCTCTCCGAGGTCTAACAACAATTCCTTTGTCTTCAAGCTTAGTTTGTGCTTTGACATGCACGGTCAACCCTGGGACCTTATATAGACAAGTGTATGCATTTTCAATCATGTCCATTCAACTGAATTTACCACAGGTGAACTCCAATTAAGCTGCTGAAACATCTTAAGAATGATCAGTGGAAACCTGAATGTACCTGAGCTCAATTTAGTGCTTCACGGTAAAGGCTGTGAATATTTATGTACATGTGATTTTTCAGGTTTTTTATTTTTATTAAATTTGCAACAATTTCAAAAAAAAAAAAAAAGAAATTCATATTGTCATTATGGGTTATTCTGTGTAGAATTTTGAGGAAATAAATTAATTTAATCCATTTTGGAATAAGGCTGTAATGTGGAAAAAGTGAAGAGATCATGTACATCTAAATATGTATTCATACGGACATCATCTAAAACTGTTGCACAGTAACCTGAATGGAAATATAGCAGGGCAATAGTATAGAATAGAATAGAATAGAATAGAATAGAATAGAATAGAATAGAATAGAATAGAATAGAATAGAATAGAATAGAATAGAATAGAGTCTTACATTCGGGCATACAGACATTGTCTCTGCTGTGAGCTCTGCGATTGAGCCAGGACGAGGACGATGGCTTTAGATGATGGCTGCAGAACAAACACAGAACACAAGATGTCAGTGTTGCCAAATAGAAAAATTAAATCACCACTGTACATGACTGCAATCACAGAGCTCATCTCAAATTACAGCATCAGGCTTAAGTAATTGTTGTTATTAATAAATGTATTGCAGGCATCTGATCACTGTACATGTCTTTTATCTTTGAGAATCCATATAAAGGGAAAAGGCAGCTCTGAATATGATTGTGTACAGTTTTAGGATGTATACATTTAAATCTCTTGATGTTAAGGACTTCAAATCTTAAAAAGCATGTGTCACAAATGTGAAATCCAAATGCCAAATGATAAAGACATATATCACTGTAATAACAAAAACACATGTTGTGACATTACCTCATTCTCAAAATTGAAAATCAAAACTATAGACAAGATTAATAAGATATGGCCTGGACTGCATTTAGCCAGTGGGAATTCAAATCAAAGACTTTGTCATATTATTAATACATTAATAAAGTAATATTGATAAAACTTATTAATAAACACGTATGGAAAAATTAAGAGAATACTTGGATATTCTCTGGATTTACAATTTATAGTGATCTGTTTTGGTAAAACATCAGTTTTGTTTTGTCCTGCAAACTACTGATAACCAAGGGTGAAGAATTGGCATGGACGGAGGGGACATGTCCCCACCAATATCCATCCATTACTGAAATGTCCCTACCAATAATTGAATCAACTTCCAAATAAAATAATGGTCCATCAACCCTTAGTAACATTCACGTGCACATAGTTAAGTTCGCTGCGAGTTCACTGTAATACTATTAACCAAGGCAGTGCAATTAAATCAGTACATTTTAGGAAATTCAGTTTTAACCTCCACGATTATGAAAAACAAATTGGGGAAAAAAAGGTAAATTAAATCACACACTTCTCTAAATTTCTCTTGATTCATACCTCCTCAAATCCAAATTGCAGTAAAATCCTGTAAATTGACTTTTGCAGCATGTGAAGTGATTGTTATCTGTATTATTAAGTGTTTATTTTATATTATTAAGTTCTTTATTCACGCTTCTTTAAAGCACAAAAAAATTGCCTAATGCATGCGCTCTAGAGACGTATGTCCCTACCAATGTCAAGAGCGAATCTACACCCTTGCTTATAACATTTCTTTAAAAACTAAAATAAAGAAATAAAAATGTCAATTACAGCATTAAATGAAATTAAGTGAAAATAATGAAAAAGATTTGATGTTTTTAGACATGTAATATTCATTTTTAGACAACACAATGTCAATGTTTTGCCTTCAGAAGAGTCGAGAAAGCAATGTTGCAATAGTCTCACAATAAATAAACCGTTTTTTATTATTAAAAATAGATATATTGTAAAGGGGAAAAAGAACATAAATATAAATCATTTTTAATTTTTATAAATCATTTTTAACTTTTGAGTTGCATTATGGGACCATGATCTTTCCTCCAACAACTTTTAACTTTGAAAAGTTAAAAAAAGTGACTTTTAATAACATTTTGAATAGTTTAAACTGATATAGTTTCTGGATTGCTGTTGTAAATTATGGTACAAAAACCTTGTAATAAACTACCAGTCCAGCCTGATTTCTGGAGGCAATGCTATTTCATGTTTTATCAGTTTAGTGACTAATTGGTACAAATTTGTATGAACTCAGTCGTATGAAAATGTATGATTTTGAAATGGAGGCATAGCACCCAACTCCACTCATAAACCCAACCATTGGGGATAAGCAAATCGTTCTAAATAACTTGAATGAGATCGTACAAATTAATACGAATTAGCCACTAAATCAAAAAGTTATGAATTGCTATGAGATTGTGTTGGCCAGTATATTTTTTGTTGTTTTACATACTTATTCCTCTCTATATTATTTCTTCAACTGCTAAAATGAACTATTTCAAACTGCTAAAATGTAAATAAAAGTCACTTTGTTGAACTGTAGAGTTGAATTTTCAACATTAAAAGTAGACAGAGCAGATACCATGATGCAATTCGCAACAGTAAATAAACGAGAAAAACTTGTAAATCTCAATATACTGTTAATTAACAGATATAAAAAGACGGATCACTTGGATGCCATTAAAATGTAAATGTAGTTAATGCCATTGACTTTAACTGTATAGACAAACCAATAGTACCTGCTCTTTATGTACAATGTAAACTAGTAACGCATAAACAAAATAATTCACATTCACATAATGATTATTAATCTCTTACTCTTTGTAATAGGCATTCCCTGAGTCACTGTACATCATCTCCCAGTTTTCCGACCCTCTCACCCGTGCTCCTCTACGGGGTCCGAGCCCATTCTCCAAGGCACTGGTGTTTCCACCTCTTAAGTTTCGTGATTGGCTGGGGGATGACGTGTGGACGGGGACACTGCTCGCCCCGGCTGAACCACCTGAAATATCAATGAAGAGAAAACAATGCTTCTCAAATGACTCAGGCTTTATTGCAACATAAAGCCTATTCTAGCTTCAATCTGAGCACTCATTGAGTTATTATTCCAAGTCATTCTCCTTTGATTCAAGTCTAAATGGGTTTTCACGAAGCCAAGAAAAACAACCAAATGAAACCATAATTGTGCATTACTGTAAAATAGGTTCATCATTTATGTTTTTATTGTATCATTAAATTGTGTGTACTTGTTTACCTTATGTTGTGAGGACCAACAAAGATAAAAGCTTAACCAAATAAGCAAAGTATTGTTGAAGTGACGTGTTTAAGACATCTTTATAGATGTTGAAATAATGTTTCCGAAGGTCAAGAATAAAAGTTTAAAAGTTTTTCACATCTTTTTTAAATGACTCTTTCAAATCTCTGAGACTCTTTCAAATCTCTGAGACGTCAAAATTGTTGGTTTAATAGTAGAAGTTTAGTGGTTATGTAGATGTGCAGATATGTTTCTAAACTAACAGAAGTAATATAGATATGATCTACATATCCATATGACGTCTAGTGTTTGTTGAGAGATGTCATAACAACATAAAAGCTACATCCAAAAACATACAGTTGAAGTCAGAATTATTAGCCCCCCTGAATTATAACCCCCCGTTTATTTTTTTAACCAATCTCTGTTTAACAGAGAGGAGATTTTTTTCAACACATTTCTAAACATAATAGTTTAATGACTCATTTCTAATAACTGATTTATTTTTTCTTTGCCATGATGATGACAGTAAATACTGTTTTACTAGATTTTTTCAAGACACTTCTACAGCTTAAAGTGACATTTAAAGGCTTAACTAGGTTAATTTGGTTAACTAGGCAAGTTAGGGTAAATAGGCAAGTTATTGTACAATGATGGTTTGTTCTGTAGACTATCAAAAAATAGCTTAAAGTGGTTAATTATATTGACCTTAAATGGTTTTTAAAAAAACAAAAACTTATTTTATCTTAGCTGAAAAAAAAACAAAAACAAATAAAGAAAAAATATTATCAGACATACTGTGAACATTTCCTTGTTAAACATAATTTGGGAAATATTTAAAAAAGAAGAAGAAAAAAAAAAGATTAAGGTTGGGCAGCGGGTTAATAATTCTGACTTTAACTGTATGTCATAAAAACTTTTGGTAGCTCTTCGGTTTAAGTACCAACTCTAACTATGAACTATTGAGGGCTTATTAACTAATAAACAGCCCATATCTTAATAAGACCTTGGCTGAAGATATGGGCTGTTTATTAGTACTTATAATGTATATTCTGCATGATCTTGTTCTATGTACACTGACTTTTAACACAATAATGACATTTTAAAGGTAAGTGTTTGCAAACAATTTACAAGGCCTGAATTTAAAAAAACAATTTAGATTTAGTAATGTTCAACTTGAAGGAACATTGGTCAAACTTTATTCTGATGGTTCATTTGTTGAATTTAAATTACATTGCAACTAATTCTCATTAAATTATAAGTTGACTGTTAAATTGGAGTTAGGGTTGGGGTTAGGGTTAGTGTAAGTTGACATGTACTTGCAAAGTTTCTTATGGTCAGTTTCTTATAGCAGTATCAACAGATATTAAGCAGACAGTCTATAAATACTCAAATGGACCATCAAATTAAAGTGTTACCGGAATATTTGGTTGAGCCTCACAAGGAAAAAAGTTTAGAAATCCTACAGACTTCATTCATTTCCTCAGGTGTCACCACAGCGGAATGAGCCGCCAACTATTATAGCCTATGTTCTATTATAGCAGATGCCCTTCCAGCTGCAACCTAGTATTAGAAAACACCCATACACTCTCATTCACACACACTCCCACACTACGGACAATTTAGCTTAACCTATTCACTTACAACCTGAGCACCCAGTGGGGAACACGCAAACTCCACACAGAAATGCCAACTGACCCAGCTGGGACTCAAACCAGTGATCATCTTGTTGGGAGGCAACAGTGCTAACCACTGAGCCACCGTGCCGCCCATCATATGTACTTTTATATATATATATATATATATATATATATATATATATATATATATATATATATATATATATATATAATTTAGGTTATTCTATACTTTATTCAGGTTTTTGATAAAATATTTTGCACATACAAAATATTTCTTTGTAAAAAAATAAATGTTGCTTTGTTTTTGTTTTTTTTAAATGTCCTGATATTGTGATAGAAGTAAATGTGTCAACAAGGATTCGTAATAAGGTTATCTTTTCTTTTTGCCTAAGCCTTTTATTAAAGATAATAACATTTAAGCTGTGTTGTCTTAAAATATTAGTACATACCCTTTTTAAATTACTTTATTTAAAATAAAGTAATTTACCATTTTAAATGCTTTATTTGATCAGGTCATGAACTTTCATTTGGTAAAAAATATATATAAATATATTAAATGTATCTTAATTAATCCAAAACACTTATTATGTAAAACACAGTTTTACCTTAAAATTATAATGTCAGATCAAAGCTGCAAGCAGCGATGAAAGAGACCTTACATCTGGGCTCACTGCTGATACCTGATAGAAAATATGCTATTACTGTATTTTTGATTGTCATAATGGTTGCTGAATTAAATCTTAAATGATAAAACATCACATAAAACCATCAAGAATACAACACTTAAGAGACACATTTTGACATTATTTAATCTTTTTTTTTAATCATTACTATTTACTGCTGTCATTAATGTTTCAACGTGTTCAACATTTTTATCATCACTGATCACATTTAGAAATTACGTTAGTATTCCACAAAAAACACTGAAATAAGAGATAACTAAATGTCTTTATCTCTCTCTCTCCAAACTATATACAGTGTTTTCCCACAAATGTGACTCTCATCTTAAATGCAAACCCAAGTTTTCCTTATTTTAGAGTCTAAAAGAAAATCGCTACAGTGTCAGCTGTGAACTGTACTGGAAGCGGGGTCAGCATCTAAGAGGCAAAGCGGTACATTTAATCCATAGAGACGGATCGGTATGTAAACCTCCTCTGTTGATTGGCTTCAATGTCATGCTTTGATCGATGTTTCTGTCATCTGTGCCACTGCCCATGGGGTGAAGACACCAGGGCCAGACAAAAGTGCACAGACAAACAAAACTCAAGTGAAGTTATGAAAGAGTCGACTGGACAGTTTTGACAAACTCAAAGTCTGTCACTGACTTCTTTTTTGCATCATGTATTTTATCAATCTTACTGGCTGACAGCCTTTTAAGCTGTGCAATAGTCAAGTGTTCTTCATTATGAGTGTCATGGCAGACTAACCTCACAAAATTGACAAGAATTTTGTTGTTTAGTCCTCAAATATTGTTTAATTATATAAAAAATAACTATTTAAAAATATCAGTGATGTGCTAGTGAGTCGTTGGTTGTTACCATTTACATACCCCCTGCCAAGCGTAGCCTTACCATGGACTGTTTTTTGTGGAATCTACCGGTGACTGCTAGGTATTTTTATAGTGGTTAAACATGAGATATGATTCCTTCAGGGTATATCTAAATAACAATATGTGTTTTCAATCATCTATTCTATATATAGATTGCACTATTTTATCTTTCTTTTCTTTTTTAACACATTTTAATATGTTTTTATCTGTTTAAATATTTTTTTATCTTTGTTTTTATTATACATGTCTCCTTTATTCCTGTTTATGCAAAGCACTTTAAATTACCCTTGTGTATGAATTGTGCTATATAAATAAACTTGCATTGCTTTGCCTATTATTTGTTCCAGAGCAAATAGAATTGACTAAGGGCAAAGCTAAGTTTTATAACTATAAAAGAAAAGGCCATTATTGCTTTGACTGACTTGCTGAGCATCTATAGTCTTTTATGAAATATTCATGTTCTGTAAAAGATAATTAAGAATAGCAGTAGTAGTATATAACATATATTTTGTTTAAGAACCCTTAAGGTTCTTCCTAGGATCTCTCTTATTTTCTATTTACATAAATGACCTCCTTTAAATGTGTCTTTTGTCAGATGTTATTATTTACAGCCAATACTGTTATTTATACAGTACATCTAAACATAACATCTATCATGTTCACTCTTCATTACAACAAAATTTAATGATATTCAAAAATGTTTTTTTTAGCTCTTTATCGATTTGTAGTGAAAGGAACCCATAGTATGGACTTCACAACTAGGTATGCATGTCTTAATTCAAGAAATACCCTGTCTGTTAAGTTTTCAGATGGTACGGTACTTGAGAAAGATGAAGATTGGAAGTACATGGGCCTCTAGCTGGACATTTTAACTCGCGTTTAGGCCTCATATTATTGCCATTGTGAAAAAAAATTAAATAAAAATAAATATATATATATATATATATTTATATATATATATATATATATATATATAACTTAAGCCTCCTATATTGCTCAATTAATTTTTCCACTCTAAAGACTAACTTAAGAATTGGCACTGTAACTCTTTCCTCTCATTAGCTATGTGGATATTGTCAAACAAAATGCAACAGTCACATTTTAACACTGAACATAATTGATAATAGACTCATCATGTGCTACTCATTGAATTTATTATCATTAAAAGTTAGACAAAAGTTTTACTGGTTTCATTAACAAATTAACAAGTCATCTTGTATTATCCCATTTACTTTGAGCAATACTTATTTTCAATTTGAAAAAAATAATTTTAGTACAAACAATATTTTTTTTATATAACTGGGATATTACATGCATTAAATCTCTAATACATTTGTAATCTAATTGCAAACGACACTCAAATAAAATATCTATGTTAAGGTTCTTTTACATTGTAAAAGCACTATAGAAAAAAAATGAATTAAGATATAAATAATTCAATCCAACATTAATTGATCCAGTGAAATAAGGCTTTAATACTGTTTTGAACATCGTAAGTGTGAACATACTGTCACTCACTATAATAATTCACCAACTAAAAAGCCAGTGTGCATATATGGCTA